ATTTCTCTTGATTACGACACGAAACGTACGGAAATATATATTTTTTTCGAGAGAGAGATTTATATGTTTGCGGATTAGTTCGATATATCTCCCTGGAATTCGTGCATGCAGCCTGGCCTAGACGTTGATGGCAGGAAATTCTCGATCGGTGAAATTAACGTTGACGTCACTCTCGCGCGTAGGTGTTAACGCGTACTCGCAATATTAATATCAGTTAAAATCGAGCAACACGCCGGGAGAGCCATGCGAGTGGGAAACTTACGAACGTACGAGGCGAACGGAAATGTCGAGATATCGTTTTGCCGAGGTGTCACATTCGATGGGAGAAGAGAAAAAAAAATACTTGAAACTTAATCTCAAAATTCACGTGCCATTGAGATGAACGGCACGAACGAGACACGTTTTCCCCGCGAACGTGCCGTGCCGTTTCTCCCGACGACACCCGGTAGGTGCGGTCAAGCGAGTTTTCAGACGGCACGTTTCGCAGCGGCGAGCCCCGGCTCGAGGCGCGGTATGTGGGTATATATATGTCCATCTATCTAACCAGCGGCGTGCGAGCCTTGCCTTGTGTGGGATTCCCACAGTGGGATGGACTCTCCGCGTCATCGCGCTGCGGCGGCCGCCGCCGCGCCGGCCGCCTACGGCGTGTCCCGAAAGTTTTCGTCGTAAATCAAGCTGTGTGCAGCGCAGCCGGGGCTTTGCAGCAGCGCTCGCGATCGCCCGCTGCGACTTCAATTCAATCCGATGAGCTATCGCTCGCCGTTACGTTAGCTAGACGAAAGGTGAAGGGGGAGGTACGGGCGGAAAAATGGCAATTAGAGTAAGTACAAAGGGTTATCAGACAAGCTGAACGTATATATACCACGGGATATATTAGAGCTTACGCGCATTGAATTTCCGTTGATCGAGGAACGGAAGAGAACGGATGTTGCATGATCGAATGAAACAGGCGTCGGATTTCGAGGAATTCGACTGAGTCGTGAAATTCCGTCGTCGATACAGGACCCCGCGCAGCGACGAGCTTTCCATCTCGCGGAAACGTGAAACTCGCATTCTCCAGCCCCCGCGTTGCTTTTAACGCAGCTTCACAGAAGCATTAGTTTGAGTCATCGGATTCTAATGATCGACAGTGAATTGGCTGTTTTATCCCGCGTCTCATTTGCGAGTCTCACGCGCATAATGGGTAATTGTAAAGCGATGAGAAAGAGACAATTCGAGGCGACGACGTTCCCTCGAGGATATGGACTTCCGTATCTTCCGATAAGGACGTCGTTCGACCGCTACTCCGGACTTGAAGAGCGAACGCAGGCGCGCGAGATTGCTTGCTGGAAAGAGGTTTCCTTCTCTCGCTCTGCCGTGCCGTGCCGAGAAAGTCACCGCGATGAGCGCGTACGAGCCACTGGACGAGCACCAGCATGCGTAAGGAGTTGGATCGTCCGTCCCCGTCGCTCCTCTCCTCTCGTCCTTCTCTCCTCTCTCGTGGCACGGCTACTTCTCACGCATCGACGCAACGACCTTTCGCGTTCATGGAATCTCGCGCGATTCCATCGATTCGCCGCCCGGCGCGGCGTGCGAACGCCGAGGCGGCACGCGAGCGAGCCGCGCTCACTCCGGGCGGGAAAAAAAGGACGTCGAGGAGGGTAGGAGCGGGGTGGAGGAGAGGCGAGCGTTCGACGAGCAAGAAGAGGCGGCCTCCTTATTCGAAGGCGTACCTAACTAGGAGAGAGCATCGGTACGCGGCCACGAACCCGGCGGATGCTATTATTCCCGACGCGCGCGGCGGAGGCACGATGAAAAATACACCCCGCTATTCCTCCTCCCCCGTCCCCGTCTCCCCTCGCTGAGACCGTGACTCCGCGATGTACGGCCGAGGCGGTTGCTTATCGATGCCCCGGGTCGATACCGAGGCGGCGGAGAGCGCGCGGGCAACAACGTGTACGCGCGTCGCCCGCGCACCGGGCGAATCGAGTTTTAAATTAAAAACTCGCTCGCTGATTCCCGCTCGTTTCGCGTCGGCTGAAACTCCGCGGCTGACCGCCGCCGCGTACGCGGCGAGACAGGCACGAGAGGGAAAAAAAAACTGACATTTTCCTGCGAGAATGCGGAAAACTATCGCAAGATGCTACATTGCGATGTACTCGTACCATAAAGAGGAAGAACTTGACACGCACGTGTGATTTAGGACGATTCTGTTTGACGCAACGCTGTCCTTTTTTTTTGTAATTGCAGATGCAATTTTAATTGCATTGACGGCCGACACGTCTGATTGACACTTAAAAATTTTCGTATGCAAGAGATTGCCGCGCTAAATTATTTTCTTCATCTCCTAATTCGACATTTTTTAATGAAGACTCTATGTGCGTGAAAGATTCTTTCGTCTCTCTCTCTCTTTCAGTATATTTAGTATGACTATTTTACATGGCAAACTCTTCTTTTTGTATAGCATCCTGTATATAAATCTCTTTTGTATTTTCAGCGACAAAGTAACGAGACTCCTCTTTGCCACTTCGTAAGCTATCTATCGAGAATCATTAATCAATTGTTTCGTTCAAATTAAGAAGTAAGATTTAAAATGCGGAAAGCCCGATGAGGCTTTCGAAATCAACCATTGTTGTCAGAAAGAGTATCCGTTCATTTCGCGGTTCCCTATAAATGATATGACGCAAATATAAAAGCATTTAATTAAACGATTTAATTATCCCTCTATTTTTCGAAAGGGCAGGGGAGACCGATATTTCGCACGCGGCTTCATTACATTACACGAAGCACCTACCATGAACGCGCCGTTAATCGTCCTCGCGCGTTGCGACGCGCACGCTGTCTCGCCCTCCCACCCTCTCTCCCGCCACCCCTCATCCCCTCGGCGCAATCAAAAAGTACGCGGGCCGAAATAATGACCGTTTCATTCGAAACTCCGCGATTTTAGCTGGCGCGCGTCGACGTATCGGAGGGCCGCCCGACCGACCCGACCCGCCGCGCCGCTCTCGCATGCACGCACGCACGCACGCACGCACGGACGCACGCATGCATGCACGCTCGTTCGCTCACTCACTCGCTCACCCATACATTCGAGAGGCAACGTGCGCGATATGCAAGGCCTCGCGGTACGATCTCGTTTGCACGCACGCCTCGGCGAGCCGGCGGCTGTGTGTGCGCGCGCGCGTGTGGGTAACGCGCGCTTCGTGGCGCGCGTGCCGACGACGGCGAGGCCGTCTCGCTCCCTCACGGCTTTCCGTCGCACGCCTCGTCGCACCACCCGCGCGTCTCTCTCGCTCGACGGCTCGTGTTCCCTCGTGCCCCCGCACTCCGCCGGAGCGGCCGCCAACGCCGCCGCCCCGAGGGCTCATCGCTTCGACGAGCCGAGCGGCGGCACGGTTTGAGCTCCCACCGCGCCACGCCGCCTCTCCCGCTTTCCTCTCTCTTTACTCCCCGTTCCCCGTTTCCGCCTGCCTACCGACCACGGCCCGTCGCCTCGGCGTTTTTCGCTCCTCTTCCTCCACTTCACCTCCTACTCTTGCGGTCGTTTCGTCGCACACGACGTGCCGCCGCTGCCGCCGCCGTCGCCGCCGCCGACGCCGACTTTTCGCGCGCGCGTTGCGAGACGGGGAGATTAAAGGCCGCGCACGCGGTACCCCGACGATTCTTATCGCGTGCCGCGCCGCGCGATGCGTAGAAGCCAAGCGCAACTCGTCTTCTTTCTCATGGCCTGATGCCGTTACCAGCGTGAATCGCACGCGACTTACCATTTGCGCCTGATGCGTAGATCGATATCGGTGATCCGCTAAATGTCAACGATGCATTCCACAGATAATCGTCTGGCAAACGGAAAAACCTGAGGGTCGATCGCGCGTGAAGCAAAAGTTTACTATGCTTTAGTCACCACGTTACTTTCGTAAATTATATAACAGTTGACATTTTAATTTATTTATCCTTCTCTTATTCTAGACTTCTCTTAATCTAGACTTTAAAGAAGAGTTAGATTAGTTGATTCTTCTGTCTCGGTCTATTAAGATTTTTGTTACGATTCCTTATGCATATATATATATATATTAAACACAGCATTATTATACATGTTGTATTTTTTTGGCAATTAAATGAAAATATATCGAAACTTTTTTGTCAAATAGCGCGATCAACTGCATATATTCTGCGAAGTCTCGTGCAGACAAGTAAAAAATGAGAGAGACGACTGTCTTTCGCGCGGTATCCATCTCCGTGAGCATAAACGCATTTAGCCGGCGCTCACCGCGCGCAGCGAGTTTTAATTCTCATTTATCCCGAAACCGGAGGGGCGGGGGGAGGGGCGCAGCCGAACCAGGCATCGATTAAAAAAAAAAAGAAAGCGACAGAAAGAAAGATAGAAAGAAACGGGGAGAAAGAACGAAGGAGAGAACGGGATGGAGAGAGTGGAGAAAAAGATCCACTGATATCCAAATCGGTTCCTGCTTCGACGCCGCTTCACGGTGGCTAGGCAATAAAACGGCCCTGAGAGAGACGGAGGCACGACGTGGCGCGCGACGAGGACGCGGTCGCAAGCGAGCGAGGGAGCGTGCACGTGAGAGAGAAGGACGGGAATAGGAGACGACCGCACGTAGCCGCAGGCAAGGGCGCGCGTGAGCAGGCAAGCGAGCCTTCCGACCGATCCTCCGCCGCTACGCCGCGCCGCGCCACGCTGTGCCGAGCCGAACCTCGCCTCGCTTTACCTCCTCGCCTCGCCTCGCTTCGTCTCGTCTAGCCTCGCCTTGCCGTGTCGTGTCGCGCCGTGCCGCGCCGCGCCGCGCTGTGCCGCGCCACGCCACGCCGTGCCGCGCCGCGCCGCGCCGCGCCACGCCGAGCGGCGAGCCATCCGTGCTCCAGTATCCCCCGCCCCACGCACGACCAACCACGACGCGGTGCCCCTCGTCACCCCCTGCCGTCGCCTCTCGTAGCCGACGCGCGGCCTCGGCGCGCCAAGTTCGCCGCGTACAGCCGCCAGCTACCGCTCGCCGCCTCACAGTCCGTCACCGTCGCTCGTCGCGCGAGCACACGCGGACGTCTGTAGAGTCAGGCTGCACGCGCTGCGTGTGTTTTTGTCGTCGTATTGTTGACACAGTGACAGATTGAGATCAACCCCCTGTGCTGCTCTAGTATGCACGAGGGTGAATTCCCGTGTTGCGTTCAGCTTCAGCGCTCGTAAATCCGCGCGATTCGGGAAATTGATGCAAAAAAAAAATATATATATATATTCGGTTTACTCCGTATTGCAGAGAGGACCCTTTTTTTCCCCGAGGTAGATCGCGACTCGATTGCGATCTTGACTTTACGTGAGTCGGCCCTTCGGGCACGCGGTGTCGGAGATTCAGTGAAAGCGGAACGTTTATTCGTCCAGTCGCGCGAAAACTTGTGAACGAGAGTGCGCTTACGATTTGTTCATCGACTGGTTCACTGCACCCTCGTGAGACAGACCCTGGAAAACTGGTGGAGGGTTCGAGGAGAGTTCGAGAGAACCGAGCGAGGAGCGAGCGTGCACGACGACGGCCGTTTCGCCCCCGTGAGTGACAAGTGGTCGGCGACGCGTGGTTAACCACGTGGCGCGGTGTGTGCGCCGGTACGTGTACGGCCGCCTGGGTGGCGTGAACTTTCGCGGGACTCTCTTTCCCTTGCGTGCGCGTGTGTCGCCGCGGGACAATCGCGCGTGTACCACCCGACACGGACAGGTGACGGGTAAGGTCGTCGGTTGTCGGTCTCTCTCGGCAAGCGGACGGACGGACGCTTTGCGCGGCTTCGTCAAACGAACGACGCGCGTTACGCTCTAGAGTCAGGAAAGTTAACAATCCGACCTTCAGCCTATCGGTTTCTCTCTCGAGAGCATGGTGCAACAGTGATCAGTCCGCCATATATCATCGCCGGTGCCAACAGCAAAGGGGGTCCGTAGGTGGTAGTCTTGGTCTCGCAGCCGCCGCGAGATGCTGAGAGCCTCGGCCGTTCAGTCCAGCCAATCACGTAGGGTGCTGCGATCTGTGCCGAGGGCCGTCGCGGCCTGCTAAGATGACCGCGCGTCTACACTCGCTGAGGCACCAGGAGAAGAAATCAGCCGGCAACAGCCACAGGCAGCATCATCAGCATCAGCAGGCCGTGCATCAGGGTCCGAGCCCAGCACCGAGCCCCAGCCCCAGCCTCAGCCCGAGCCCGAAACATTCGGACGGACGAAGAGTGAGTATTAAAGTAGCATTGTATTTTAAAACGAGCGCCAAAAAGTTTCGCCTATCGTCTTTCGCTCTCCGAGACCGAGGGACGAATTTTTTTTTTTTTTTCGTTTAAAAATCGTATAATCTGCTCGCATGTATATGAAATCTCGATTATTAGCGGTATATTAACATTAATCAGGGAGAATGAAATGCATGTGAGAGTTTAGAATAGAAATTGTAGCGCAAGCGCAAACGTATGGATAATTTAATCAGAGGTTTTAAGAATGAAAACAAAGGACTGAGTCGAGATCATGTGAGGATGCGATACCTTGCACCCTTTGCAACGCACGCGACCATGCGTTCCAGAACGCAATTCACCCTCTGCCACCCAATTTACCTCCTGCGCACTTAATCGCAAGTCCGCTAGTGTGACGCGAATCCGATACCGGACACGTGCGTCGTTTACACAACCGCGCTCGTCGCCCAATCCCTACGTGAGAATTCGCTGATTTGTCAGTTGGATTCCGTATACCCTTCGGGCGTACGAAAAGCGCGGCAACATGATACTAGCGATAAATATGAAATGCATCGCTCCGAAAAAGAATTTACTGGCGGAAATACGGAATTTTTCTTAGTGGAAAAATTAACTGTCACTTTCTCCCTATCGCGATACATTTCCCGCAGATTTAATTTTATTCACTAAGCTACACGTATCAAAATACTTTCTGCCTCGGCTGCGAAATAAAGATTTAGTTATCTTCTATCAGCATTTTTAGACCTTGGTATTTTCACATGGAAATGTCTGATTACATATAATAAAAATATTATATTTATATCACAAATACGATAACGAAATTATTTTAAGATCAATGGTAAATCATTGAAGTCCACGATGTCATTTTTTACGCATCGAAATGCGTAGGAATGCAAAGGAAAAGACCGACGTTGCGAGACTTCAGCGAATCGCGTGGCGTTCAGCATGACTCTAGGAAAAGTTGGTGATAAAAAAAAAATTGCGGCAAAAAGGAGCGTTACTTCTGACCCTGCATCCTCTCTCTAATCTCTGCGCGAAGTGGGTCAGTTTCGCAACGCGGCAGATTCCGCGGGATTTCGAAGGTCCGACCTTCGCTCGTTTCCGGATCGTTAAAAAAGAAAAAAAAGCAAGCGCGCGCGCGGCGGTGGCGATAGATACGGCGCGCGCGGAGCATAAAACGGATATCGCTCTCCACGTGGACGCGCCGTTAAAATCGCAGCTAAATGGCGAGACACACACGAACACGTCGAGCTATTAAGCGCCGGAGATACCGCGTGCCGATTGGCGAGATTAAAATATACCGTCGGAAAAGATAAAATTCTCGATACGTTGGAACCGACCGTGTATCGTCGTCACGATCGGCATAATTCTTTGTGTAATTAAATATTGCCTACACGTCGAGATGACAAATCTAAAAGACGCAATCGGTTTCCCATGAATTTCCATTATACGGCGAAATTGTAACCGTCAGGATTACTCGCGGAGCACGTGACAAAAGCATTTCCTTACTTCTCCTTGTCGTGCGGCAAAACGCGGCGGGTCGCGAGGGCACGTCGCGGCACGAACGGTGCGTGTCGGTGCCTTGTGACGCCAATTTGCTGTAATTGGACGTATTTACGAGCGGTTATCATACAGATCGTCCGGACCGCTCCCGCCCGCACGGCGCGCCGCGGTGCGGCGCGGCGTCGTTTCGAAAAGCCGTAATTCGGTTTATCCAATTAAATCGCCGGGCTAGAAACGTGGAGGGATATCGCGCGTCGTCCAAAGACCGCGCTGTATTTATGTTGTAACGTCTAGAATACTCTCTAACTATACGACGTAACGTTTCATTTTATCTTCTGCGTTCTTTCCCCAAATTGTATGAAAAATATCACCGCCAAATTCCTCGATAAAAAATAATCCCGAGGATTAACGGCCTCGCGTGACGCGCGAAGGCGCCTCCGCGAAGTTACCGTGAGTACTCGCGCGTGATCCCGCGTGGTGCACGCGTGCGTCAAATGCGCTTGGGTTGCCCTTTTAAGGTGATCCACATTGCGTGTGAGAGAGTACGTTCGCTTGAGCGCGCGCGCCTCGAGCGCGAGCGGCGGTCTCCTATTAGGAAAGTTTCCACGGTGACGAAAAGGCGTAACTTTGTGCACTCGTCTTTATTAGCAGAGTGGATTCGCGGCAGACGTGCTTAATAGCGCAGGAATTTTAGGTGAAAAATTTTTAATTTTCAAAATATTTTCGTTTTAAATGTAAAAGTATTTAAAAAATATACAAGAAGATGAGACTACATATATTAAAAAATTAGTAATCGATAGACGATCATTGAAATGCTTTATGGTTGGTTAATCTTTCGCGTATCTGTACGTATTTCTTTGTGTGAATTTTTGCCTACAAAATATACTTTGCATTCTCCCTTTGCTTTAACCATAGCAAAACATTTAGTCTCCCGCGTACTCTTAATCCGCCGCGTCTTCCCTTCACATACACACACAATGGTATACAATAAAAATTATGAGATTTAAACTTTCTGCTTTATCACGTCTCGTTTTCGATTATCTTTAGGGGACGAAATTTTCCTGCGCTGATTCATGTAGTCTGGTAAACCGAAAGAAAGCAAGACAATCAATTTCACGCATGCAGTGATGCTACGAATGAAAATACAAAGTCCCATTAACATTTTTAAATTCTCGCAATCAGACTGTACTTAATGGTATCAGTTGAGGCGCCTAGACCACCGAAGTCCGAGGATTAAATAAACAATAGCACCTATATAAACGTGAAAGAATTTCCCACGCTTATTCAGAAACCTCCTCCCTTGCTTCGCGCGATAAAAAATTTGTAATTTTTGTCGCGTCGTCACGAAAAAAAATTATCGTCGACGCGGGATTGGAGCGGTGGCTAAGAGAAAATTCTGAAAGAACGTTAATTTTGGGCGATAAAGCCTCGCAGGATTTCGAAATTGGTGGAAGAGGTGGAGGGAAAAGAGAGAAAAAGAACGAAAGCGACGAAGGAGGGAGGACGCGGTGGACTCCGGTCCGTCGTTGGTTTAATTGACGGCACTTAATGGATCGTCGTTATGCCCGGCTTAATTACCTGTCGCTCGTTGCCGCTAGTTCGCGCATTTTAATCGATTTATCATACGCGCGGCGAAGGCGACGACGTGCCCGAATATGACAGTGCAATGCATGGACATGCGATATCACGTTCCCGGAGTCAAACGGAAGCAATTTTGCGCTACGGAATTTTCTTGGAAAATTAACCGTGCAGCCTTTTAGAAACTAATTCGAAGTAGCACACTGCAGCAGTCTTAACACTCTTTACGGAAGTATCTATGCGTCTGTAATAAAAAAAAATACAGAATTCATTATTTTTTGTATCTATAGGAATGCTATTAAGCTTGATATTTTCTGCCGGTGTTCTGCGGTTGACACAAAAATTTTTCTCGTTAAAGATATGACGCTGTTGATGATTCCTCGCGTGTTACACATGAAAGCGATTCACGATAATAAGTCTCGTATATTTACGTAAAGAATTTACCTGTTCAGAAGCGCTCTGCAGATCGGGTACGACCTTAAAGCCCCGATATACGCAATGCACCGAAAAAAATGACCGTGACCGACCCACTATTAGCGATGACTGTTGTTAAAACAGTCTGACTGGGGGGGAAAAAAAAATTCCGGCGGTCCGCGAGGTGGTTTGCACGTCGATGCTGATTCACAATGCCGTCGCCGCCGGTACGTGACGCGAAGTCGCAAACAACGAGAATGTGATTTATCGCGCGTAACGCGCTAATCGGCGGCACCGTCAAAGTCACGCCGTCACGCCGCGCTCGAAGCCTGTCCCCTTTATCTCCCTTCTCTTTTTCCGCGCTCGCGCGCGCGCCTATCTTTCTAAGTCACGCCAAGCTGAAAGAGCGCGTCACGACGATCGCGGAATTATCTTGAGGGATACAATTTTTCGGTAGCTATCGGAGGCGCGGTGAAATCGCCAAAGTTTCGTCGAAGGAATCTTTCTCTTTGGAAAAAAAAACATCTGTGATGAGCAGTAATTGACGTTCTAAGAAGAAAATGAGATAGAGCGAAGAGAGCGAAATTTGATGTTACTGATAATTTCGCGTATCCTCCAGCGATTATAATAAAAAAAACCGCGAGACTCAAGAGCGCCGACGATAAACACTTTTCGGATCCTCCCTCCTCCCCTCTCTCCAGAGCGTCGTCAGCTTGCACTCAAGGAATGGAATCGAAGCGGGAGGAAAGGGAAGAGGGAGAACAAATGGTCCACGACTAACCCAGTTTCAGCCTCCGAATCGTCGAGGCGTAATTTAAACGCCTCTATTACAAAATTCCTCTCTCGCTTCGCCCGCAGGCGCACGCATCCCATTCGTACGGATGCGGATGCACAGATACGCACGTGGAAGAGCAAGTGAGAGAGATAGAGAGAGAGAGGGGGGAGGGGATCCCGGCGGCACCGAGAGTCCACCGACAGACGCGCGTCTCACCCTCCTTCCGTCGCGTCCCCCTCCCTCCGCGCCCGTCGCCGCCCTTCATGCGCGCCTCTCGTAATAATAGAAGGACGCGACGGAGCAAGAGTGCCGCGCCGGTCGGCGGCGATGACACGCGCGGCATACACACACATACGGATACACGCACACGTGTGCGACACACGCATGCACGCACACGAATACGCATGACCGCACGGCGGCTCGCTCGTTTGTTTACCCGTCGCGGCGCTCCCGTGTGAACGCACCGCCGCCGACTTCGCCTCGTCTTCCTCTCCGACCCCCTTCTCGCCCCTCCTGATTCCACCTTCTCGGCTTACTCTTCGTCGCCCTCGACGTATCTGCGGTGGCCCCGCTCCGCTCCGCACGCGTCCTCGCCTGTTATCCTTCTCGCCGACCGTCATCTCCGCCTCTGTCACTCTCTCACGGCGGTGAGTCTCGCAATTCCCTCCCTCCCCCTCTCCCTTCCCCTTTCTCGTTAGAGCCGACTTTGCCCGTCTTCGTCGTTCCGCACGTCGCTTCTGCTCGCGATCCCCCGTCTCCGTCTCTCCCGTCGCCCGTCCATATCTATCGTCGTTTCTCTCATCCTCTCTTCGTCTCTCTCTCTCTTTCCGTGACGCCCGTAGCTCTCTCGCTACCTTCATCTCTCACGGGGATACCCGCCGGCGTCTCTCTTCTCCCCGCAACACGGTCTTCTCTCGCTCCGCGCCGTGAATATCTGTCGTCTCCCGCCTCGGCGGCGGACGTGCCTTTGCCGGTTCGGCCTCGCCATTTCGCACGCTATCCTCTTTCCACGTGGAACGTATACGTCGGCGTTCTTACTTTTTGTGTCTCTCCGCGAGAGCGGAGTCCTCCGTCTCTCTCTTCCTCCTCCAGATCGTCTCTCTTCCCCTCTCCCCCCC